GAGAGGCTGGTGGGCGGAGAGTGGCTGACCACCGCTGGTCCAGAGGTCCTGCTGCACAGCACGGGGGGATTCCTGGGGTGCCTGGCACCTGAGTCTGGCTGCCTCCTGCGCCAGGCAACGTACAGAGGCCAGCAGCTGCTGGATGGCAGCATGGGATGGGGCCCGAGTCTGGTTCTGACTGGGGATAGCCAGGTCCTCCAGGGTGAGAGGCTCCCCCACCAGCCTGGACCTCCAGCTCCGCAGGCCACCCCGGAATCTGAGGCCTGGCCGTGTGTGCCCATCAAGAGGGGCAAAGGCTTCAGTGGGCCTGAAGTCCCCGCTAGGGGTGCCTGGGGCCGGCAGCCTGGACTGCCTCAGACAGGGAGATGGGCGAGCCAGTGGCTCCTGGGATAGGAGACAACCCCAGGGCAGCTTGTGGGGCCCAAAGCTCCCCCCAGGCTCTGGGCAGAGGTGGGGGCTGCTGGTCTCCCTGCTGCTCAGGTTGCTCTGCTGAATGGCAAACTCTCGAGCCTTCCCTTGGCACCTCCGGGCTGGAGGCTGCAGGTTGCTCTGTTGCCAGACGCTTGAATTTACCAGTCGGCCAGTTGTGTCCTTCAGGGCTAGGCCCAGGCGGGGACCAGGGCTGGCCAGGTTGGTCTGGACTCGGCAGGGCTCCTGGTCTAGCACCGCCCCTGGGGAGGGTGTGGCAGCACGCCCTCCCCTCTCCACCTGGCACCCGGGCACCCACTGGTCATGTCTACTGCTCAGGCTGATGCCCAGGCTCCTCCGGAATCTTCGTTGCTCTAAAGAGAGGAGAGACAGTCATGCCTTGGGGGAGGACTTGGGTGGCCGGCACTCAGGTGGGACAGGTGGAGCTGTCCAGGCCTCAGAGCCAGGGAGGGGACGGGGCCCTAGCAGCGGGAGGGAGCTAAGACTTCCAGGGTCTGCTGCCAGCTCTGTCTCCCTGGGTGAAGTGATGGGCAGTCCCTGGGGCTCTTGGAGTGGGGGGTTCTTGGAGCTGGACAGAGGGAAGCAGAGAGATATTTAGGAGGTAGTTGAGGGGGTCCCAGGAGAGAGATGATGGTGGCTGGGATCGGGGGTAGCAGGTGGGTAAAGAGAAGATTCAGACAAGCTTCAGAGGTGCAGCCAGCAGGCTTGGGGGAGTCAGGTAAAGGGGAAAAAAGAAAGAATCAAGGGGGACTCCTTGATTTCTGGCCTGAGCAAAGAGGTGGTGGGGGCAGTGGTCTGGGGTGAAAGCAAGACCCCATAGAGCAGCAGGTAAAGGTGAGCTGCTCTGGGAACACGGAGAAGGGCCTTGGAGGCCC